CTGACAGCAATTTAGCGTGAACCCTCAGGGAGTTAGGTCGATCCATATGGATCGATCTAAATCTGTGGGAATGCAGTGACTATTAAGTTGTCGATAAATCAAAGTGGAACGAACGACATAAATGTACCGCTTGCTGTGACTAGGGTTTTATGCTCCTATATATGCGACTTAAGATGATATGGGCTCGTTATGGGGTGGGGTGGGGGGGGAAGTTGAGAGCTATGATGCATTGTGGCTCGTCATGGGGGGAGGGGGGGACATAAAGATTAATTGGGTCGAGATGACTACACAGTGGGGAAAAAGTGTTACGGTGGGCACACAGGTATGTAAAGACAACACTCGAATAAGAAACACTAATGCTCGATGTCTATTTCAATTTCATCAAGGTCAGAAGGTGAATGTTATAGGGATGAACATTGTTTATAAATATATAATTTTAATTTTTTACTTTCCTTTGAGTTTTTTATTTATTTTTGTAAGGTTGAAGACTTCTTTTAAAAAGGATACAATGACTTTTTTTTTCCAAATGCAACTCCAAATGCTTTCACAGTTAGTAAATTTTTCATGTTGCTGACAACAGAAATTCTGAAGAAAAAGTCGTGTCCCGATTTTCAAATGTATGCACTGAATAAACAAAATGGTATTTTATAGTATGTTTTTATATCATGAGCTTTCAAAGTGACAATGTAGCAAACTCAGGCCTACCCAACTACCAGACTCGGCACCGAATGATCCTGAATTCACCGGTAAATCAGACCACACTACCCGTTTTCAAAGTGTGTGTCAAATCGCATTACACAGTATCAGACGCGACACCGCTCTTGCCTAGTACACGATGTGATAGTGACGATTCTCAGCGGGGTTGAAAAGCATTGCATCACCACTCAAAATTTGTTCAGGGTATGATACTGTGTAATGCGATCTGACACACACCTTGAAAACGGGTAGTGTGGTCTGATCTACCGGTGAATTCAGGATCATTCGGTGCCGAGTCTGGTAGTTGGGTAGGCCTGAAACTGGTGATTCAAATTTGATGTTTAAAATTACATTTTTTAATTTCTTTTTACATATTTTTACTATGGTGATGTGCATTAAATCATTTGGATGAGGTAAACGGTATAAATGCAACTACATGTAGACGCAAGCTAATAAATGAAATCTAAAATAATAAATTATGCTCTTTCGCTTACATGATTGTTATGAATTTTACTGGGCAAAAGTTTACTATCATTCTTTTAAGACTTAAAAGTCTGTGGGCGAAACACAAAACCCTGAATTTTGATATATGAAAATGAAAAGTCGATATAGAATTTTAAATTATTTACTATATAGGCCTTAAGTGACTTTAAAGTCAACTTCAAACTCGAGTATCCTGATAGCAGTATTTGTACATAAACATCCCTCTGCTAATATTTTCAAATGGACACGTACTAGTACTAACAGCGCCGTTCGTACGTGTACTGAGAAAAAAGACATCTGTAGCGCACTTATCAGAGAAGAAAAAATATTCCCAAATACTATGCATTTTTCGTACATTTTGGGTCAGTTGCGAACAAGTATGGTGGAGAATTAAGCAAAACTGGCAACAAGATCTTAAAAAAGTATTAATCTTTTTTTCATGAATATTTTTCAGTATCATATGTGTTCATTTTCTGAGGTTTCCACTTTCCAATCTTAATTCTTATCTTTACTCTGAAAAAGCTGAATGCGTCGTATTTCAAACCGAATCAAGAAAATACACAATTAAGTTTAGCGTTAGAAAAACCCCGAACTCTCTCTCCATAAAATATTTCTTAAAAAATCTTGATTAACTGTATACAAGCACTCTGCATCACATTGCTTAATATCTCCCATATAACAAATCCGTTGTGTTAGAGAATATGACTGGAACTTCAATCTCAATCTGATAATTGTGTTAGAGAAGCCCCTCAGTGAGACGTAAACACAATTATACGATGATACGTGAAGATTGGGACAAAAATGCAATGAGATTTCTTCATATTATCAATCATGTAAGTTTTGCCACATGATAACTATGTATACTGAAGAAAATTTCACGGTTTATTCAAAATAATATGAATAGTGATGTTTGAATTTTAATTTAATTTAATTTAATTTAATTTAATTTAATTTAATTTAATTTAATTTAATTTAATTTAATTTAATTTAATTATCGTTATGTGCTTTAGATTTGGATTTGCCTTAGTTGAAGTAGAAGGTACAGATGCAGGGAATTATTTTTTAAATGAGGACAGAAAGATGGCAAATCTGAAGTTCATATTCATAATGGGAGACGACGGCCATAGGGAAAAAAGAAGATGAACTAGCTGTATTTCACCCAGTGAAACTGTCCGGATAATCTGCAACGAGGTCACCGTTAACCTCGGCACTTAGCCCTAGGCACTTGTTCATGTACGTACCAGGGGAGGCATATTTTATTCGATTTGAGTTGTATGTTACATTGAACAAAAGAAGTATATTATAAGGAAAAAAACAAAGAAAAAATCAATGGTGTGATATAAATTCCAAATAGTCATTGAGTAAAAGGCACAGATTCACTTGAAGGTTTCAAGTATAAATCGCGGAATTCATATAGATACAGGAGTGATAACTAGGTATCAGAGCAAATTTGTGATATCATTTTTTACCTTAAATTTAAAAAGATTGAAGTCGGATGTTAAAACTGAAATATGGCTAACATTAATTCATCGTGAACTATGTTCTGCCCATGATCGCATTGTCATTATATTGTTTCGCGGTTTTTAAATCGGGTGAAAAGATATGGCATTAGTGCAACTCTTTACTTCATGATTGACAGCTGTTGGCTGACTCCATAGATGTCATTTTACTGTGTGCTTCTGTTTTTTAAAAATCAATACCCTATGAACAACAATAGATGAAATCATATGATTTATTTCCAGTGTCAGAATGCGTCTGGTTTACAGCAATCTCAATGTCCAAAGACGTCAAATGACAGAAATAAATCTCATTTAATAAAATGACAGACTTGAATCTCCTTTCAGTATCTGAAAAAGAATATGAGAGATTATACAAATATTTTTGCTAATTTGATGTTTGGATGAATATTAAATACGCATTGATGAAGACATAAATCCACCCACCCTCCCCACCCCCAGTAATCAAGTGCACTCAGTCAACCCATTGCCTGTATAGGAAGGTCTCAAAAGGGGTATTNTTTACTATGGTGATGTGCATTAAATCATTTGGATGAGGTAAACGGTATAAATGCAACTACATGTAGACGCAAGCTAATAAATGAAATCTAAAATAATAAATTATGCTCTTTCGCTTACATGATTGTTATGAATTTTACTGGGCAAAAGTTTACTATCATTCTTTTAAGACTTAAAAGTCTGTGGGCGAAACACAAAACCCTGAATTTTGATATATGAAAATGAAAAGTCGATATAGAATTTTAAATTATTTACTATATAGGCCTTAAGTGACTTTAAAGTCAACTTCAAACTCGAGTATCCTGATAGCAGTATTTGTACATAAACATCCCTCTGCTAATATTTTCAAATGGACACGTACTAGTACTAACAGCGCCGTTCGTACGTGTACTGAGAAAAAAGACATCTGTAGCGCACTTATCAGAGAAGAAAAAATATTCCCAAATACTATGCATTTTTCGTACATTTTGGGTCAGTTGCGAACAAGTATGGTGGAGAATTAAGCAAAACTGGCAACAAGATCTTAAAAAAGTATTAATCTTTTTTTCATGAATATTTTTCAGTATCATATGTGTTCATTTTCTGAGGTTTCCACTTTCCAATCTTAATTCTTATCTTTACTCTGAAAAAGCTGAATGCGTCGTATTTCAAACCGAATCAAGAAAATACACAATTAAGTTTAGCGTTAGAAAAACCCCGAACTCTCTCTCCATAAAATATTTCTTAAAAAATCTTGATTAACTGTATACAAGCACTCTGCATCACATTGCTTAATATCTCCCATATAACAAATCCGTTGTGTTAGAGAATATGACTGGAACTTCAATCTCAATCTGATAATTGTGTTAGAGAAGCCCCTCAGTGAGACGTAAACACAATTATACGATGATACGTGAAGATTGGGACAAAAATGCAATGAGATTTCTTCATATTATCAATCATGTAAGTTTTGCCACATGATAACTATGTATACTGAAGAAAATTTCACGGTTTATTCAAAATAATATGAATAGTGATGTTTGAATTTTAATTTAATTTAATTTAATTTAATTTAATTTAATTTAATTTAATTTAATTTAATTTTCGTTATGTGCTTTAGATTTGGATTTGCCTTAGTTGAAGTAGAAGGTACAGATGCAGGGAATTATTTTTTAAATGAGGACAGAAAGATGGCAAATCTGAAGTTCATATTCATAATGGGAGACGACGGCCATAGGGAAAAAAGAAGATGAACTAGCTGTATTTCACCCAGTGAAACTGTCCGGATAATCTGCAACGAGGTCACCGTTAACCTCGGCACTTAGCCCTAGGCACTTGTTCATGTACGTACCAGGGGAGGCATATTTTATTCGATTTGAGTTGTATGTTACATTGAACAAAAGAAGTATATTATAAGGAAAAAAACAAAGAAAAAAATCAATGGTGTGATATAAATTCCAAATAGTCATTGAGTAAAAGGCACAGATTCACTTGAAGGTTTCAAGTATAAATCGCGGAATTCATATAGATACAGGAGTGATAACTAGGTATCAGAGCAAATTTGTGATATCATTTTTTACCTTAAATTTAAAAAGATTGAAGTCGGATGTTAAAACTGAAATATGGCTAACATTAATTCATCGTGAACTATGTTCTGCCCATGATCGCATTGTCATTATATTGTTTCGCGGTTTTTAAATCGGGTGAAAAGATATGGCATTAGTGCAACTCTTTACTTCATGATTGACAGCTGTTGGCTGACTCCATAGATGTCATTTTACTGTGTGCTTCTGTTTTTTAAAAATCAATACCCTATGAACAACAATAGATGAAATCATATGATTTATTTCCAGTGTCAGAATGCGTCTGGTTTACAGCAATCTCAATGTCCAAAGACGTCAAATGACAGAAATAAATCTCATTTAATAAAATGACAGACTTGAATCTCCTTTCAGTATCTGAAAAAGAATATGAGAGATTATACAAATATTTTTGCTAATTTGATGTTTGGATGAATATTAAATACGCATTGATGAAGACATAAATCCACCCACCCTCCCCACCCCCAGTAATCAAGTGCACTCAGTCAACCCATTGCCTGTATAGGAAGGTCTCAAAAGGGGTATTGTGGGAGAATGGTGAAATAGAGTATAACGTAACATGATTTTATGGACCCAGAGTATGTATTCTATTCAGTTTTGTGAAATGCGATGGCGATGGCTGCTGCCACCATTTTGTTTGGTAACCCCTCCCCTCCCCCTCCTCGCGAACATGTAACAGGTTTCCTATCACACATTTTTGGTTATTCAGCATTGTTATTCTTTCAATTTCATCACAGCGGATCTATCTATTATATATATCCTTAATTTAAGATAATCCATGAACTACATTTACAGATTCTTACTTATTAGTTATATAAATGCATATTTTAAGTGCATAGAATATATCTTCATAATATATTACCTTTTAAGGCTGATTGCTGAGCAGATCTTTAAGTTCAGCGAGTTCTTTCTCGTCCAGCTCATCGTCCAGCTGGTCATCATCCGAGGACTGACCCTGGGTCAGAGCTGGAATAGAAAGACTGTTTTAAATGGGGTTGTACAAAAATTCTGTAGTTCACATAACCATTTTTCTGTGCAAAGGTGCAAAGAAAACTTGATTAATTAAAGAAATGGGCTAGTAACTTGGACGATGGATATATTCTGTAACTAATATAGCCAACCCACGTGTGTGCGTGCGTCTGCACGTGCCTGCGTGTTTGTTTCTCTCTCTGTGTGTGTGTGTGTGTGTGTGTGTGTGTGTGTGTGTGCTTCAGAGAGAGAGAGAGAGAGAGAGAGAGAGAGAGAGAGAGGGAGGCTGACCTGTTATCATATTAAAATGTTCCTGGAGATTGTCCAGCTCTTTTTGGTCAACGAATCCGTCGTCTAAAATAAGAAAGAAGAAGGGAGCTATCACGTTTATATACCCATGACATCAACTTAGCCCTTCGTTTACCACTTTTAAGACATCTGGCGTAAAGATGAGTCACTTCACAGTTTTGAGAAAAATTTGCTTAATGGTGACACGTCACACTATTTTTCTCTGCCTTGTTCTACAGTAACCTCCAATATTGAAAGAAAAAAATTAAGTGATATACCTGGTACATATAGCTTAGTTATAAAATGCACATATTGTGTAGCACAAAATGTTTGCTTCACTGACGTTGTTTGCTTTACTCATGATATTGTGGAATAACTTCGTAAACTACAATGTACATTGTATGTACATCAACAGAAAAGGCGTCATTTTTCTTTTATTTTTGTCATTTGTAATATATTGTATGTTATAACGTACCGTTCGCGTCGAGCTCCTCAAACAGATCCTCATCTTCCATCTCATGCAGAGTCATCTTGCCGTCCCCGTCCTGATCATTCATCATAACCTGCAGTTTATTTTCCTGAAATTATATGATTTTTCTTGAAAATCATGGTATCTCGCTTCTGATTACCGTCCTTTCATTTTCCTATTCTTTCCATCCGTCTCACAGCTCCCACTTTTCTCTCCTTTATTGTTTACTTTATCTCTCTCTCTCTCTCTCTCTTGTGTACTTACGTCACCAACGGCGACTACTGCCGCTTTCCCCACTTTGTAACAAGTGATTGGGTGGGACTTGCAAAAGTTGACTACACGCCCCAGGACTCTGGAAATAAAACGTACATGTAGTTTAATTTATTTTGACTTAATACGTGCACTAAATCACTTAAACTCTCTTCAAGATGGTATTTTTGCTTTTGTTTCCAAATGTGTTGTTTTGATATTTTTCTTTACTCTTTTTTTTAACCACAATTTCCATGCATGGAAATTACTTTGAATTCAGAAATAAGCAAAAATAGTTCCTTGCCTTCTTACGCGAATACGAATTCGTGGAAGCCTGATGCGAATCCTGGGCCAACTGTCTCCCTCCTGGACCATCATGGCTACAACGGCCAGTAAGAGTCCTATCAAAAGGTACAGCCTCATGGTGAACTGCAATGTGGAGCTTTTTAGTTTATCGATTCATCGGAAAACATTATTCTAGATCACATTATGAGAGACGTACAGTACATCCAATCACCACATAAACTCACTGACATGAAGTGTTTTGAATAAATATCTAAGAATAAGTTGATAGTGAACATTAAAGGAAAAAAAACAGTCGACAACGTAATCAAAATTAAATCTAACGACAAAAATTCGACGCTAAGATTTCAGAAACCTTTCATTAGCGCTTCATCCAGCTACTGATAGTGGAGTCACGTAACATTGGTGGCAACAACTGAGACAAATTTGTCTCAATCACCGACGGCATAAACGTGTTACGTATTAATTTTAGAGTGCATACAAACCCATGTATACATGAACAACTACAAGTGTAAAGTTTTAAACGCCCGATAAAAGTATCACGATACGAACACGAAAAAAAATCTCTCACCTTCAACAAGGAACGTCCGGCGCTAGTATCTGCAGGTGGGAATGTCTATCGTTGAACAATAGAGATGGAAAACAAGTAAACCTATCTCTCTTATATAGCACTTATGTCGTGACTGTTTGAAAAAGTTTCTATAAAACAAGGTGCATCTCGATTTCTTTGATGTGGCTCCGTGAAAATTCTAACTGCCCACGGTTCTCAGAAAAATATTTTAATCTTTAAAAAAAATTAATAAAACGAGGCAAGATGTCACTTGAGTGAAGGTGTCATTTTTTTTTATTAAAGATTCTGGTCGAACAGTACAGAAATAGCGAGTGTAATATCAGTGAATATGTAGTGAACAAATAATCTCCGTAGCCCTGGTAGAGCATGCCTACTAGTACACACTGTATGTAATTCATGCTGATATATAGGGGCTCGCTATTTAGCCTTCTTTATCCCCAGCACGACAAAAAAATACTACGAATCAACTAAAAGAATTTGAGAACTTGTCAAGTTATCACTTAGAAAAAACATAAATTCAACACCGTAAACAACCTCACATTTCAAATAGCCTGAAATCTGTTCCATCGTATTTCCCAGAAATCGAGACTAGTTGAAATGAGAGTAACCGTATACATCTGCCGCACCTGTGAGTTAGGTTATGAAGTCAGGTTGATGTCTGACATGTTTACTGGTATGCTATTCTCAGGTAATAACTAGTTACCGCGAAATGCGTAGGTTGTCTTTTTTTGTCACGTATGAAGGCCCTTAACTTTTCATACAACGTTACTATACATGTAGTAGTATATGTATAAGATATGTGCGCATTGAATATAACAATACAAATAGATGTAAATGACATAATACATACATGTACATGTAGAACACTGCCCCGTACACAGGCCAGTAGTTAGCAATTGCATGAGGGGGGTTCTTTTTCTGAAAATGTGGACCTTTTGCCATGAAACCTTAGTTTACCATTAATAAATTATTAATATATGTTTTACAATTATTTATTTCTTAATAAAACTAGAAAAGCACTCCCAGAGCGCAGACCTCCGCCAAGGCAGCAATTTTTTATTATTATTGATTATTGATTGATTATTGATCCGGATCACCACCAAAATCTTATCACTTCTAAGTTAACCAATTTTTGACCTACCCTGAAAATTTCATCAAAATCGGTCCCTAACTTTTTGAGTTATGTTGATGATTTATTTTTGATTATTGATTAATTATTGATCCGGATCACTACCAAAAAAAATCATCTCTTCCTTGGCCCACTTCTGAAAGTTCCTGAAAATTTTATCTAAATTGGTCCTTAACTTTTTGAGTTATGTTGATGACAGTCAGACAAACAGACAAACAGGTGTGAAAACATAACCTCCTTGGCGGAGGTAACAACCAAAACATTACTTGTTTGATGTGGAACAATGGTGGTGTTGGAAAAAACTTACAAAAAAAGTCTATTTCATTAAACAGGCTGGTAGAAAATCCTGCACAGGACACTTTATCAGAAGTCATCATCAAACCAGAGGCCTTATGCATAAAGGCTTAAGCGATGGTGAGATAAAATCTCAATCTACCTGCCGTCAAAAGAGCCGCCAGGTGCTAAATAATGCCTTCAGGTGAGGCATACAGGTCTCTGAGGCGCAATAGGTTAACGCGTTCGGCTGTTAACCGAAAGGTTGGTGGTTCAAGCCCACCCAGGGACGGTCACGTTTGAGTTATTTTGATGGATAAAATGATTAATTAAATTCCCGTCTGACCCAAGGCAAAATACGACGATACATCTCCATCTCGTTACTCACAAAAGTCAACATTTTTTACCCTCTACCAGTGTCACAAATGCATTTCACGGCAGACTGGACATTCACAACAATGTAACCGAGTAATTCACGGCACGATTCTCTGCCGGCGCTGGAGAAAAGTGCACATAAATCAATGTGAGGTCCTGCTAGAGGGAAAACTTGTCTCTATTCTGTAGAGGACAATGACACGGGTATGTTCAAACTTTTCAGTACACTTTCGATTGACTTTGGCAGCCGTGCACGCTACCGACCCGTGAGAAAACCGCCCACCCTCCGCACCTATGAGTTTCCTCTTATAGTGATCAAACGCAATTTTTGAAAATCATTTCTGCCAAAATAATTATAGTCACATTCTTGAATTCGAACCGGCCTCACAAATGAGTCAAATTCAAATGCTATTTTTCCAGGAATATAGCATTCCCAGTAATCTTTCATCTTATCACTCATTTCCTAGGACAGACAGATCAAGCCTGACATCTATTTTTAATTTTTAAACTGAACTTGTTTTTAAATCCCATGGTTTTATCGCGATTATACAGGATTCATCCTCAACTATCATTTCCTGTTGATTTAGTTGTCGATAAACCAGAGTGGAACGAACCACATAAATGTACCGCTTGCTGTGACTAGTATTTTACGCTCCTGCTCAAGGGGACTGCACTCCTTTTTTCTGTAATAGCATAACCACCACCACCCTCCTCGATATCCCCGTACATTGAATCTTCACACTGCTTGTATAACGGCTTGCTTTTTAAGATGTGTGTGTGTGTTAGCAGGCCCGTAGCCAGGGGGGGTTCGGGGGGGTTCGAAAGAACCGCCCCTTTTGCTGGGAAAAGGTCCACTCTGGGTAAAATTTGATCTAGGTACATGAAGTTTCAATGGGAAAAGGTCCACTTTTTCAAAAAAAGAACCCCCCTTTTGAAATTGCTGGCTACGGGCCTGGTTAGTGTGTGTGTGTGTGTGTGTGTGTGTGTGCGTACGTGCGTGTTTGAAAGGGGGGCTCGTCATGGGATGAGAGGGGAGACAAAAAAGGTTAATTGGGCCCGGAATGGAGGAGACAACAAAGATGGCATGGGGCTCGTGATGGGGGGAGACGACTAAGATGAAATGGGGCTCGCAATGGGGGTCGGGTGGGGGGGGAGTAGACTGCTTTGTTGCATTGTGGCTCGTCATGGGGGGAGGGGGGCTGTGATGGGGAAAGTCGACTACACAGAAGGAAAAAAACCTTACGGTGTGCACACAGGTGTGTAATGACAACATTCGTAATAAGAAACACGGATACTCGCATGCCTATTTCAATTTCAGCAAGGTGAATGTTACAGGGATTAACATTGTTTATAAATCATGATCGGTGACATGTGTACGGTGTAGATACTTGTAAGATCGCTCTGCTGTTTCTGTGAATATAAACTTGCTTTGGACATTGATTACAGTGATAAAGACACTGGGGTCACAACAAAGATACTCTGTATGAGGTAACATACTTCATTCATGATAACACTTGATATAACGTGTATATTTTAAATTATTCACTTGGATTCTATGTCCACATATGAGAAAAGATTGCCAAGATTGAGAAGTCCTTATCTTTACGTAATCGGCAACAATAGTCCATTTGTATCCAGAACAAAAGTAACAATGGCGTCTAATTACCCCAGTCCGAGCGAACAAAGCCCTAAATAAGTTGGCACAGGTAAAAATCAACTCGACCCCAGCGTGTTTACGACGCAGCAATGCAAGTGGAAAAGACCAGAAAAGAAAAATAAGAAACAAGATCAAACAGCATGGACTTAACAGAAAGCATTACTGTTGACGAACTACGATCCATTCAAGCCACTCTGTCAGAGATAAAAAGTGAAACGATAAGAAAATCCGACGTAAAGGAAACCATTATTCAAATGAAACATGAAATAAAGCAGGCGCTGAAGGAGGATTTTAAGCAAGAAATGCAACAATAATTGACGGATAGACTCAGCCTCCTGAACGAGAAAATAGATTCCCTGTATCTGGAAAACGCACCCCTGCTTGTGAAACTCTCCAACCAATTCAGTGACACAGGAAGACTTTGGACAAATTAAAAGAAATCAGTCATTTGGCGAAAATAGCTGTGCAAATGGCAAACCACAACCAGCAGTACTCGCAGAAAAACAACATTAAGGTTTTAAACTGGCCGGAAAAACCAAAAGAAAATCTAAAGAGGGACCTCTGCCGCGTCTCGAAGGAAAAGGTAAATGTGGACATCAGCCCCACCTCAATTCTGGGAATCCACAGAATACCAGGTTACATCGGTGGCGCAAGACCCGTCATAGCCAAATTCGTGAACACCGAGGAAAAACAGTTATCAAGCATAGACAAGTGCTTAAAGGTAACTTTATAATGTACGATCACACTACTTAGGAAAATGCAAGAAAAAACAATGTACGGTAATAGTATACGTCCCACTTTTGGTATTTAAGAGGGCGAAAGGTAGGCCTACCATTTGGTACGGTTTAGAACTATGATTCAGCTAGTCAGAATTCTAATTTCAAGAGGGGATCACTTGTGTAAATTATTTTATTTATTTATTTATTTATTTTTTTTTGTGTGTGTGTGAGAAATTGAAGGGGGGATCAAGACGAAAAATGCATGGTCTGTGAGATTAAATCGTTTATTGTTTTCTTCTCTGATAAGTGTGATACTTTTTTCTCAGTACACGTACAAATGGCGCTGTTAGAACTAAAAATATCGTGTACATTTGTAAATATTCTTCATTGCATCTCTTTCACAACACCGTCTTATCACCTGGTTAGAAAACGTAAACAAGTTTACACAATACTCAATATAGTTATAGAAGAAAATTCAACCATTACAATAAATTGAGGCGTCCACGACTATTTCCCCATCATTGTATGTTTGAATTTTATTCAAATTTACCTTACTTAGCCTTACAACTGGTTATAAAGAATCTTCCAAATACTTGCAACCCCTTGGATTTATTATACTCACAATGGTGACCCGCAACTTAACGTTATAACTTAAGTTATTTATTAAGAAAAAATGTTGCATCGAAGATGCAGCCTGCTTATAATAATGATTTCAGGTGATCATACCATAAGTAGTACTGAATGGATGCATATTTGATATTATATAATGCATATTTGATATCATGGTCTCCTCACCGTACACCACTGGATTGTAAAACATTTGAGGTTACCATTAGATATTATTACTTTTTGGCTGAAACTTACAGAACTGATGAATATTCATAATACACAGGCCAAGTTAAAAAATCAGCATGATAGGGCCATTTTCATAAAGGCTATGCTGTTTTTTTTTTTTTTTTTTCACTTTTCTCAGCATATATGCAACAATGATAACACATTTCAAGGAAAATCGATTGGCTAATTGTCTTGAAATTCACAGGGGTGATCAGTCTTACTATTATACAGATTAAGTTCGAAAATAAGCTTGATCGGTTAAGTTTTGGTGAAGTTATGCCTTTTTATGTGTAAAAGTGTTTTTTCCTCAGATTTAATTTTAAGAATCCATATTTGTGCACGGGTTTTATATAACTCTTATATTATTAACTCTGAACTGACAGGAGCGTAGACAGAAGCAATCTTTTGGCCTGGAATATTCAGCTCTGAATCAAATCCGATCTACTTTAATTACGTACAGAGATGCAGCGCTTGATAATTTTTTTCTCAGATTAAGTTTTATTACCAGTGTCAAAACTAACTAGAACCTCAAAATAATTTATTCAGTAGATTTAAGCTTTGTCTGAAGCATTTTTTAAACAAAGTTAATTCACAAGAAACGGAGGCAAAGCGCATGGAAGCATCTGAAGGAATGTATCTGGGATTTCATAATACACTTGTACCTGCTTCGTTTTCAAACTAGTGTTTTAATCATGGTAGGTGCTATAGTTGTAGTGATTATTTTGTAAATTGGGATATTTTCGGAAATTAAACACATATCAAGAATTTGAGACACATTTCTGTTTATGTTTAAGGGTGTTTTCGGATCATGTTGTCTGCACATGTGCATTTCATGTGCATTTCCCGCAGAGTTTTAGTTTTTAGCGTATAAAGTACAGGCTCAGGAAAGCGTTATATCTCTTCACGTAACAATTTTTTAATAAAATGAGGATATGAAATGAAAAGCTGGTGAGTTAGGAAGATATTCTTGCCACCCCCTCCCCCGTCTGCAGCCTTAAGGTTGATCTAAGAGCAGAAATATTTACTGTGGCGAATCTAATAAAAATTGAAACGTATAAAGCACCTCAACAATAACAACACACATATAATAAATCCATACGATTCCATATGAATGTTTGAAAACCACGTAAACCACAAAAAGGGGCTGTGTCTAGCAGAAACAACAGCGATTTTCGATCTCTTAATATGAAACAATCCCAAGGACACCGAAGTTTGACTGGAAAATAAACCACAGGCGTACTTTTTTCTTTGGGAACAAGTCTTTGGAAATTGTGTTTAAAGCAGCAGACGTTGCTGATTTTTATTCTTTTTTCACTTTCTAACGTATTTGGGCCTGAAAAATTTATGAGTGGGAAGTGGGTATTTTGGCTGTCTAATTGTTACAGTCGTATTTGACATAGGCATAGGTACATGTATGTACATGTATTGTCTCTCTTCTTGAGTAGCCCATTGCACATGATCTACAGAAAAAAACAGTAACATGTATTTATATATATCAAACGAGCATATACCACTGTATCCATTTTGGTGAACTTGCATTTCTTATTTATTTACCTATCTATTTATATACCCCATCATTGACCATTTATTTATCGTGAGATAATTTACAGCAATTGCTTCAAGTAACCTCTTATAACGTATTCGCACTGTATTTGAAGCGTATTTACACTGTATTTGCTCCCCAATACACGGCAGGGTTGTCGCCCCTATCCCAGTGCACAGTGCATGCACGTTGGGTTATAACGTAGCCAGACAAGACAAAGCTAAGCGGGCAGGTGAGCTTCTCGTAACATTTCTTCTGTATGAAAATCCGGGCCATCATTTGAAGTGCCTTTTTATGTAAAGTTTCGCCTCGGATATTTTTTCCTCTCATTGGGCCCTTTTCGTTGTAATTCCTTAGGGATTGTCCTTTTTTTTTTGATATAATATAACTGTCAAAATTTGATATAACCCCAAACATTAATATTGAAATACCTAGAATGTATTAAAAATTGCTCCGAACACGCATCAAGCGGAAAGCAGCTGTTCGCGACCTGTGCAGTGTTAATGAATCAGTGGCGTTGTCCGCTTTACACGTCCTGCTTCAGAAAGTTGATATTAACAAAATGCACCTCCATGCACCTATAAATAGTACGCTGTGTTAGCCGAGAGGTTGCTCGATTATAGAAGTTCCTTTTGGTGTAGAATATCCTAAACCCGAGCTCGTACAGTCTGTTGATAATATCGACATCTGCCTGTTTTTTAGGGATGCCATGGAACTCTGAAGCAAATTGTTTGACTTGGGATAACACACCCTCGCGGTACATTGCCTGTAAACTTGGCCATTCGCTCCATTCAACGTCCATTTTCAGGTAGTCCAGTGTCACCTTAAATACATGTATAATTAATTAATGCCAGCTGAAATAAATAAATAAATAAACTAGAAAAGCACTCTGAGAGCGCAGACCTCCGCCAAGGCAGCAAAGTCTCCATCCAATGCCATTTCACCCCTAAATTTTCGATATTTTTTATTATTGATTGATTATTGATCCGAATCACCACCAAAAACTAATCACCTGTTCCTTGGCCCACTTCTGAAAGTTCCTGAAAATTTCATCAAAATCGGTCTATAACTTTTTGAGTTATGTTGATGACAGACAGACAGACAGACATTCAGACGGACAAGCAAACAAACAAACAGGGGTGAAAACATAACCTCCTTGCCGGAGGTAATAAATAACTTACCGGCTTGCAATTTAGACAGATACACATGCAGACGGAGAGAGCAACAATTTGTTTACATGAACACAAACTCCCACCTACTCCCACCCCACCAACCCCTTTAGCTTCGATATTAACGCTCTCCCTCCCCTCCATAAAACAGTATAAAAAAACCAAACCTTAACAAACCCAAGAATTTACCAATACCTACTAATCATAAATGGAATTGCATTCTTTTAATTTTTTCAATGTTTTTTAATATTGACGATCAAAGTCAGCCAAGCCAAACGTTTTCCTGCTTTGCTCTTTCTCCCTCTCTCTCTCTCGTTTATCTAAACCCTAGCTCTGCCGATCTGATGTGTCTGGTGAGACATAAACATTTACCAATATACTAGCTCACTTCTGATCACAAGTGGAACTGTATTCTTTTCATGCTTGCTTTCTCTCTCCTTCATCTAAACCCTAGATTTGCCGGTTTGGTGTGTTAGGTGAGATACATTGTACCAACTGGATATACCATAAAATGAAACACATATTTCATTCTTGAACGTTAAAAGGACATAATATATTGATGTATAAATCATAATGACCACTAAACTTGAAAATGAGAACAAAACTAAGTTTTATGCCGCGGTTCTGACTAACCCACAACTCCATGGTAACATTATTTTTAGAGCAAATCATTTTCTGCTGCAAATCCAAAATGTCCAACTGATGATATTGAATAATAAGGTTACATTGCACGTTTGAAAAAAAATGTCACTGGCATATGAACACACTTGGTTCGTTCTAGATAATGTATGAATTATTTCTACAAGTACGTGACTTACGTTAACATTAAGTAAATACCATTACTCAACATCATTCAAAGTTTATCATTAAAATGATTCACTTTTTATCAGAGGAACCTTCGATAAATGCAGCTGTCATCGACCAAATTTCGAACATCATACTTGAGTTTGTCCTATTATTTTATTTCCCACATGTACATGTACATGTATGTCATATATCATTTAAGTTGGTTTAGAACAAGGAGACGTGAAATGCCTGGGACATTTCAACCAATGCATGACTTACGTTTTCGTGTCCTAGAAGTCGCTTAATTGATCCCAGTGTGTAAAGTTGCCACTTCTTACCATTGGTTTCGTTGCGTCCAGATATACCCAGATTGTGGAAATATATGTTTGGGGAACGCTTAAAGTCCTTTTTTCCTATACTGGAAACAAGTTAAGAGAGAAAATTGTGATAATTTTCCTCGCGTCATGTTCAATGAGGCTTGTTAAACAATTAATCATCTATCCTATACTGAGAAAAATTTAAATGGGGGCATTCATGTGCCAATGAGACAATGATATGAAGGGATGGTTAAGTACCGTCCGAAAATACGAATGAACAAGCCATGAGTCAAAAAGCAAACATTCACTGCTCGCATGTGCGGCAAGTCTCACTTGTTTTTTGTTATCATTTTTTATTGGGGCGGGGGGGAGGGGGGCTTACATTCCTCAGAAGCGAAGGAATAGAATATGCCTATTTTACGCACTCCGATAAATTCGTCGCTGCTTATAAACGATAGGTGCCAGTATTTTGCTTATTTCGCGGGGGAAGTACTTACCTTGGATCAAAACAGTGCACTGTACAATTTCTGGTCTTGTCCATATAGTCGTCAAAAGACCAGTTAGTACTGATGCTGGATACGAAATAAAAAATATTTACATCTGCGTTAATATCATTTTTGTACCGTATTCCACTTACTTTAAGACCACATTCCCACAGTTTTTAGATCGATCTATCCCTGTGGGGAGTCTCACTAGATTACAGTCAACTTAGCCGGCTTAAGCGTCTGTCCCGCCTACTAAAAGCTGTAAGGGGGTAATTAACTACCGTGCGCGCTCGGCTGACATCAATTTAGCGTGAACCCCCAGGGAGTTAGGTCGATCTAGATGAATCGATCTAAATCTATGGGAATGCACTCTAAGTCATTGTTCACATCAAACGCTATATTCAACGGGTGCCTTACCTTCCGAACATAAAATACTGACGAGGGTCGAGTAACAAGCACTGATATGGGGGGGGGGGAGGTGTCTGTGTTGTTCGAGTGAAAAAAAAGGCTCGGGATAGAGCCCAAGGGATTAACACCAATATTATATTATTCCTACGTTGTTTCCTTGCAAGCTAACCAACACACATGTGAGACGAAATTGCGATATTATTTTTTATCATATCTATAGCCTACTAAACATTGGTATTCTACATTGACAAGACTTCACAGCTGGCGGACATAAATTACTGATATGGTTGTAGCAGTAATATAAGTCCTACTCAGGTAGACATGAAAGAATTCCACAAGCAGACAGAATTTGCAAAAAGTGTTATTCTAGGGCAATAGAAGATGGAATCCATTTCCTAGTGCCGTGTCCTCTTATACAGATCACCGCTATGATCATTATTCAGTGTATAAAAACATAGAAACTTTGAGACTCTTACCAGAATGGGTTAATTTATAACACTAATGACTGGTAAGAACAATGAACAATATGATTGCTCTTGATAAATATTTATGTTTAGCCTTCCAAAAAAGGGACTGTGCTACACCCATTATCAGCAAGTGTACTGACAGTTGAGTAGTAAGAGCCACTTGGGCTCTGCCAAATATGTTTTGCATTTTTCTCACAAGTAGTCATATTATATCACTATTTAATATAGTATATATTTATTTATAATTACATCCTTGTTGTACATTTTCATCTGCCCATGTAGATACATACGATACAATGAATGAAGTCACATATCTTCTTACCCAAAGGAGTAGACTAAACATTTCCCCGGTTTCATATTGTATGGCGGGTCAAGGCACATCTCCCAGCCGCCGTCTCCTGTTTCCCCGGTTCCTGCTCTAATCCGATGTCGGCAGTCGAACTGTAAGTTTTGAAGATATCTGGAAATTGAAAAAGGAACCAAATTATTGTTTTTATTGAGGGGGCAAATGGGATCATTTTAGTTCAGATAGACCAAAGAGCAGAATGACAAATTTCAAATAAGCAGCGGATTTTTTTTCTTAAATAATGTTAATAATTTATTAACTGTACATTACACAGCGCTGAGACTCGTGTAAAGTTTGGTTTTAAATGTTTTATTATATTTCATTAAATTTTACAATATTATCATAACCATGATCAGATTGTAATTGAATGCACGTATGTAAGCAGTTAAATACAAACAACGTGCGATAAACCTTTATACAGTATAGTAAAATATCAATTTCCTGGAAACTTTAGCAATATTCATATTCATCAAGGTACCTGTATAACCTATCCAAACCCGTAAAAAAACAAAGATCCATTTCACTGTTTTTGAGTTTTATATTTTTTCCAAACCTATTCCTTAACGTAAGTCCAACGCACGTTGCCTGTCTTTAAGCTTTATTTTGTTTCATGAAAATGTTTCATTATGTGTACCTGAAATAGTCCAGCTCAATCTTATCAGATATTGCCCCATCCGCCGACAGTCTCGGAGCGGCTTCTCTTGAATAGTCAATGTCGTCTGCTAGATTGTAGAACGTTTTCAGTGGAGTAGGTTTTATGGTTGATGCTTTTTTAAGGTGGAGTTTCTCTCTCGCCTTGAAAAAAGACGAAAGTTAGGTCCTCCATCCCGCGTGAATCGAAATTATAATTTTAATTGTAAGTACAAATGCATCAGATGTAAGTTTTCCACCTTTAAATTTTATTACAGCAGAATTAATCTTAAATACTTACAAGGTGAGAGATAAAATGCATTATGCAAGCATAGGTATTTAATACTGGTATAACATTGAACTTTTCAAAACATAACAGATATATAAAAAATAATAATACAACGTATTTCATGAAGTGCTTATTTCACACTCGAGAGCTTTCCATTATTTAACGTGCGAAAAATGATAAAAGTTTAAATATCGGAAGCGAAGAGCACAGAAGTGAAATAGGTATTTTTCGCATGAAAACACAATGTCAACCATTTATCATGGTAGCATAACTTAACAATTTTAAATACCTTGTTACTGACTGTTTGAACAGGTTTTTCTTAGAGAGAGAGAGAGAGAGAGAGAGAGAGAGTGGGGGGGAGGGCTACCTGAAAAGATGCTTACCAATTTCCCATTGAACCAATTGTTATTGGCGGCGCCATTTCTCAATATAGATCTAAGGATGCCCATTTCTTTCTCTAAATTATAAATGTTAGACAGATAATCTTAAACATTTGATAATAGAGAATTACTCTAAGGTTTTATATCCATCAATCTTAATGTTTACTTGAGCAAAAACTATAGGACTGCCAAAATGTTTAAATTATGTAATAACCGGCCAGTGGTTATACACTTGTTCTTAGAGTTACTTTTTCACCAATAAGTCAACTGAGACAGGCAGGTATAGTTTTCTGCTACATGATTTATTCAACCGACTGAAGACTCAGGTCTCTTCTACCCTCTCTCTCTCTGTCGTATCTTTAACTCTCTCCCTGTCACTGCTTTTATACATGAACTTCATTTACATTTTAAATTAACTTCTATGATTGACCTGCGACATGCCATGCCTTAAGACCTTAAAATTTAATTGTGGGTACAATTTGCATTAACGAATATGAAAATGACATATATGGAAATTAGCTCTCAATACTATTAATAGTTCACCGCATGCAAACTGTCATGTCTATATACATTTGAATAATTAAAACTTAAACAAATATGCATACCTCAGTATGCAAATTTGGAAGACTATCAGTACTAATTAACGGTTCACTACAATTAGAAACCTGTTTAAAAGACACACCTTCACGCATCCAGAGGACGGAAAGTCCCACCAGCAAAACGACTACGAAAAACGCCAAGAGTTTCCATATCCCCTGCCTGGACATACCAGTAGCTGTTAATGGTAATATAGAAACGAAAATAAGTATTTGCATAGAGAAAATTGTTACTATTACATGCAACATGTCAATAATCAATGGCGGATTTCCACACAGGCATCACCCCCTTTGAAGCTTTGGTGGCTCTGCCTTTATTAAACCCCCCCCCCCCCCCCCGCAAAAAATGGAGCATTTGAGACAACTTATAACAAAAAGATTGTCCATACTTGTTTTCTACCGATATATATATATTGCCTTTATTTATATCCTGTACCATATGTTTTGGAATTTTTAATCCTTACACCGCCCCCGCCAACCTCTTAACAAAACCCTGGATACGCCATTGGTATTGACTGTCCCACCAAAAACTTTTCTGTCTTATCTACACTGTATATACGCGCAGTTTTCAAACTGACACAACTATCGTGAAACCATAAAATTACTTTTCCTCTCTTACCCTTCCAAACCCGCCCCCGGCGCGGTCCTTCTTTGCCTTCTGATATATACTTGTCAATCTTAACACTCTAAGGATTCGTTCCCATTGACACTATCGATCTACGTACAGGAAGACTCTGCGGGTTTAACGTGGCAGAGAGCCCTCCATAACACAGAGTCCTTTTCCATTGATTTGTACAGGTACCGTAAGCCACGCCCTAAATGTTGACCCACTAAGGTCAGGCTAACCCTAACCATTGTAACTAAATGGAGGGCGGACTTTTTGTTACACGGACTCTCAGTTTCGTTACACCGGGACTTTCACTGAATGGAGTCAGTTTTTCATATTTTAATATTAAATATTAACGTTAAAACATGCCATCTACTGGCCTTGTGTAGAACACATAAATGCTGGTGATTATATGATTACGTTGGACACAAGACATAGAGTTTTAATCTGTTAAACTGATTGCATTCAGCGAAGCCCGGTAGAGTTGGATCGATCTACGAAGACCGATAGTTTCAATGGGAATGAGCACTTAGCGCAGACACCTGGCAAAGAAATAGCAATTTTACCAAAAAGGGATAGCAGGGACCAAATTTAGTCAAAGTTGTAATAACTTCTTTGTCTCCAAAATAACTGTCAATCTCGAAAATATCCCCAACATTTGGACAGAACTGCTCAAAATATAGTATATTGTCCAACAATAAGCAGACACACTGTCAAATAGACAAAGCAACGACGATGAAAAAACATAACCTCCTTTGTTGGCTTAGGTAATATAGCGAAGAAAAGTATGCATTTATCATAGAACGTAGAATATATAGTTAACATCATGTTTAAGACATGCATGTAAATTTTAACACGATTTAAATTATGGAATGAAAATTAAAACGCAAAACCGCTGACGCGACGACACTCTTTAGAATATCGTATTACCTCAGTCTCCCAAACATCTAGAAAAATGAATAACAAGGATAAGCATGGACCCATCAAACTTGTTTCACCAGTTTCTCACTTTGTTAATTTATTCATAAATCTGCATGGAGAGACGAACTCCAGCCCCTTATGGACTTTGAATAATATATATATATCAGAATGGCAAGAGCCGAGTGCTAGCTAGGCCACGACCTAAATATGGCAGACCTACATGAAAGGAAGACCGCTTAATCCTGTAATGGTCTCCCCACGCGTCGTCCCTCGACTGGTTGAATTGAGCTATGCAGTTACCAAGACACATACTGCTTATAAGAAAGTATTCAGGTAATTAAGGGAGTAGAACGAAGGAATATTCAATACCATACTAATGTCAGTGAATAGCTTACATCACGTGTTTTTTTTCTGCGCACCTGAGTTTCAATGAATGTGACCTTATGCTACATAAACATGGGAGATAAGGTTGAAGAGGTAGCATGAGTTTCCGTGGAGTTGAATCGATCAAAACAGAACATTGGGAACGGACCTTAAAAAAACGGGCTATTTAATATGCCGCAAATTCGCAAATTTTCTCCGCTAACAAGTTGCCAATAAGTTTATGTAAAAATCAAAACCTTTCATACTCCAATCCACATAGGCCCTACGGCTATACTTATCGCGGTATAAATATCTAACAAGTATTCTTTTAACAAAATAATTAAAGCATAAAAAGCGAGCACTATTGTCAATATATGTGCCCCCTTTCGCGAGAGCTATAAACAGGCGCTTATAAATGTTCAACAATTTTTTCAATATATTATCCAGTACTTATAAAGCCAATTTCAAATTATGCTTCACCAATATTTCTGATAAAAAAAAACATGCAAGCGTCTCTTCTCTGTTTGAATTTCTGAACCTGTATCTAAAAGTATTGGACTGTCTCAATCATGTAAACGAAATACAATGTATACGTCTTGTTAAACCATCATCTACTTCATTCAGTGATATCCAGAGGGTTTATATCGCCCACAGGGGTTGACCCACGAGGCTTACGTGTGCCAGAGCAAGTTTCCAGCCAATTGGTTACTTACACCATAGATCTAGTTTTGCCAATGGTACTATACAATTCTGAAAATTTCATCTCTTACGAAACATTTGGTTAGAAAAACTAGTAATAGAATGTATTACCTTTGGTTTTTATTCTTCAGAGTGATGTCGTGGTATTAGCCCCCCTCTCTGTTCTTAAATGTGCAGGAAAATACCGATGAGAGTCCCTAGCGATGCCAGACATTGTATCTAATGATTGCAGTGGCATTACGAATACTAAATACTATTACGCAAATGTATTTAGAAAAACGATTAATGTATGAACGCATTCATGTCTCTGCTATTTGGTGATTTTTTTTAATGATAACCCTGCGTGTTAAATACCATTATCAAAACTGGAGTAACCATAGAGCGCTGACTTCCACCAAGACAAAATGCAATAATAAAACAAAATATAAAAAAAAAATTCATTTCAAATCTATTCGAAGACAGGGATTGTGTTCAAGTCTTTCCCTCCTGCGTTGCTATTTATCCGGGAGATTTCATTAAAATTTGTGAAGACCTTAGTTATTTAGTCAACCAACAAACAGTCAAACTTAGGCCGATTATCCGAAAGCAACAAACCATGTCCGTTATCCATTATCCGTTATCCATTATCCTCCGTAGAATTGAATTTGGGGATAAATGAACAAGACGTGGGGAAGCTTATCAATTTGTGGTTTTTTAATGCCTTCAAGTCTTACAAATTTCGGACTTTTTTAAATTAATAAAAACTGCTTGCTAATATAACAAAAGCCAACCATCTATTTGAACTCTGCAATTTATGGCTGGTACGGCTAGCTCTTTAAAACATTTTTTAAATTTTTAGTGATAAGGGTAACTGGAATACTTAACAAAACAAAAATATTCTCCATTTTTCATATAAAATACGACGAATCCCAATTGGAAGCTAGTTATACGTATGTACAACCCGCATATAATTATGTAAATGCTCCAATGATATTATTTTGCTTCGAGCAAGTACTAGTTGCAGAGCAACATATAATCATTGCGTGAATAGCAATGGATTTACTGTTGATTATCAGGTGATTTATGGAGAAGTGTCACAAAAAACAAGACCGAATCCTACACAGAACGAACTTAAGGTTTTTTTAAATGAGCAAAGTTCATGATTGTACAGTGCAATTTCTTATTATAAAAATATTCCTTCTGGGGATAACCGTAGTTTTAATATGGTCCAACGCGCTGTATCCTCTTGCAGTTAAAAGATGAACCTGTCGCTAAAATGAATTACCCCGCTTTGACTACAGGGTGTATAAAAAAAAGTGAACACTTAGAAAAATACCCAAAATTTTAAAATTTTATTGTAAGTGTTCACTTTTTTGATACACCCTGTATAGCTACAAAGTGATGTCCAAGATAATTTTTCCAAAACTTACCTTGTTCTAGTTTGCAGAACGTTATAAAGAGATTTATCTTAATTACAAAACTGATTCTTGATCATATAAAAATACCCAGAGAGAAGTCCGATCGTGTAGTTATATTGTATCAGAAGAAGAAATAATGAGATATGAGATCCTGCCAGACAAGCTTAAACTTGAAATAACCGTATGCCCAAAGGTTTATTTCTAAATAATAATGTTTCAGCAGTCAATGCATGGCGATGAGAGAGTCTTTAATAATGGCTTATTTCAAGCCTTCGTCGCATTACGCTTGCAACCTTTTGCAACCTTTTAGCAACCACAAAATCTGGCGATCGCTTGATAGATATGAGATAAGAAGCTTTGGCATACATTAATCGGCGACCTGTCGCACACCAGTTGCAACAAGGTTGCAGTATGGTATCTGCAACCTCGAAAGGCCACCTTCAAGCTATAGGTTACTAGTAGCACACCGTTTGCCGAGCGATCGATACACAACAATTCAGAAACCGCTTGATAATTGAAAACCGGTTGCAGGACAGTAACGGTGGATTTCCCACTGGTAACCACAAGGTTGTACAGATCATATGTTTTCCAAACTTACGACGGTAGCTGTTCTCACATCAATTCCCTCTCAGAATGCGAGAAATACGTCCTAGTAAAATTGCACCTTTACAAAGAGCAGGAGACGTGTTGGCTGCTGTAATACTTGGAAGCCGGGTTCATTCTATTACTCATTTTCCTTATTGTGCGATTGTAAGAAAACAAACCATACTATAGCTAAATATCAAATTCATACTGCAACCAGCAATAATAAGTATAAATTTGAATATGTTTTAATCCTTGTTAATCTTAACATATCCCTCAATGGCATTTTGATTCAATACTTGGTCCCATTTGAAGTCGCAGGGCCTGTGCAGTTACGGTCACACTGAACAAAAAACCTCTTTGCGGCTTCCAACTACCTGTACCACCGGTTGCAAAATGGTCGGCGAGCAGTTGCTACAACTCGCAAAGAGGTTTCCAAAAGAACACTTGGTAAATATATAATCGCGCCGGCTTCGGGTGCAGCATCGAAAACCTGCAGGCGACCTAAAGACCAATCTGTGGTATCCAACCGGTTGCTACATGTAATAGGTCGCCGGCTGATTTGCAACTGGTATGCAACTGATTGTGCGGATGTGTATATGGGATCAAATGATTTCGTAAGATATCCCTGCATGCCACGGCGTTAGCGTTTTCTTAAAGAAGAACCTATTTTTTGCATTTTTTCTTGTAACACCTGTTCTCCAGTAAGATGACGATTTCCTACAGTAACACATAAATAACCCACCCGTTGGAAGTTTTGCCAAGGAACAAAACATTTGCGTTTGTTACACACTCACAACAAATTTAGATCCTTTATCTTCAACGGTGAAAAGATTTTGATGGTATCACTAATCGCCAGAAATAATATATCCCACCAGACAGTTTTAAAGTTGGACTATTGTGCACGGAAAAGGCTTAAAAGCGGAAAGGGCAATACAATGTTAAAAACCGACAGTGACAGTCTATAGCTTGGAACTCAAAGATCACAAATCAACTGCAGTAGTACACCGTGAGAATTGTGAAATATCATTTAAGGTAAACAGCAATATGAAAAATATGCGCAATTGTGCCTTGTACGAATACTTACGTTAGAAGTCCACAATGACAATGATGACTCTGGAAAGGTTACTGTCCAAACTCGGTGAAACAAACGTATTCTCCACTCTTCGTATAAAACATAACGTATCTCGGCCAATGACGAAATCTAGTATTACTTAAGCACTTACCACGTAAACACGTCTGTATTTGAATAATAATGTTTTGCTTAGGGCAAGTAAAAGTCGCAGATCTAGTTTATCTTCCCGTTAATAGCAGTAAATTACAGCTCAGCTGTGTTATGGAAGACTGTCACCAAAAACCCGATGTCGTCCTTGGGGGCCGGGGGGGGGGGGGGGCAAAATTCCTGCATTAGGAAAAGGCTCCAGGGCAGCTGCCTTACCTCAGCAAAAACTCCTGGAATTGTCAGTCCAAGAAAGTTCAAATATTTCTGGATTTCTTGGGAAGATGGACATATCAAGTAAGTGAAAGACAGTCAACACATTATCCACCTAAAATTTATTAAATTTATTGAACCTTAGAACAACTAAAATGGATTTATATGTTACACTTCTCTCTCAGGTTTAAGACAGGATATACTGACGTGAGAAAGGGAAAATTGTTGAAAAGTCCAGGGAAATTATATAATTTTAGATCTATTAAGGTCAAATTGAGCATTTTATACCCCAAAGAAAAATCTGTAGAAAATGACTTACGCAGAGACAACAAATAATGATTTTGTTCACATCTTCCATGGTGGGCAGAGGAAATCAGCATGACCAACACATGTTCATTTACTGGAAAGATAAAGAGCCATACGACCTGAAATCCCTGTCGGTCTCGTCTTGGTCTGTTGTACCGGGCGCCGCCTGGCGGTTTCCACAGTATGACGGGTGCTCGGAGTCCGCTCCGTCCACGCTTCTCGGTGAACTCTGACGGTTTTGTTTAAACCTAATTTTGAGGGAAAATAAAGAGGCTATTTTTTTCCTTTTTTCATAAAAAAGGTGATTCATTCCCTTGATCACGTCAGTTATGTACACAATATGTGCAAACGTTTTCATGATTTTTATTTGTCCCATTACTTTTAAAATCCATGTTTTTTTTTTTACTATAGTACCAATCAATATAGAAGAAAATCAACATTAATTAAATAGTGATATAAGACAGTTAGGCCTAGTCTACGCTCACCATCACACACTTCGACTCTCCGTGTTAAGATGAAGAGGTAGGACAGTTAAAAGAAGAAGATTTTTTATTTCAGTGTAATTTTTTCCTAGCTAGGAATGTGTGACACTGAAAATACGTTATGACTCCATATAAGCAAAATGGGACATGAATCTTATTAGGCCTTATTCCCACAGACATCATCAATCCATTTGGATCAACCCAACTCTGCAGGGATTTTCAGCTTTGCTGACTGACGCGCCTCCTGGCGTTCAATAGATAACAGAATAGCTGGTGATTATACGAGTACGACAGAAACAAGAGGAGGCGTGTCACCTTTGGTGTCTATGGAAATGTGATCTTAGTGAAATCCGATTGCAAGCGCAATGCTTTTCATTCGTGGTGACAAAAAATCTTGTATAATGAATGTGGAAGACGGAAACGGTATAGAGTCCGCGTGTACGTACGTGGCGACCATATTGCAGCACGAGTCATGGGTAACCCGGTTTCCGACTCTGTGAAGCCACCACCTTGAAAATACACGAATATCGCCGGGTGTGGCGCCACTGTGCTGGGGATGTACACCCAGACTGGGATACCAGCTGTAACAGAATTAAGCCTGTGTTCAATTTTATTATAACTACAGGTATACCAATGTATACCTGTAGTATTGTATCAATGTACCCATATTTGTATTTAGGCGGAGAGAGAGAGAGAGAGAGAGAGAGAACAAATTAATTTGAACTTTGTTACAGTTAACGACAATCACTGAGTTAGGTGCCGACTCTCGTAATGAATAAGTGTATTTAACGCTGCTGCAACTTGGTCCCAACGGGCTGAGCTCACTGGTAGTGTCCTTTGTACCCGAATCGTGCGGCGAAGGGATAATATATTACCGTCGCTCTACTTGGTACTCAAAGTCAAGCCTGCCATCAGACTCGCGGGTCGCCGACAAAGCCGCTTCCCTGGCTTGTTCCGGGGTTTGTAAATAAAGCAATTTTCTTATGATGACTCAATGTAAAAACAAAGTGTTTCGTAATTTCGGAAGTCGGACGTAAAGTTTATTTCACTGCAGCAAAATATTACAGAGTACAAGCTGCTATAAAATAGCTCAAGGATTCATTCATCTGAAATATTTGATTATGGAGAATTCTAAAAATAAGCAGCAAACAGATAGTCTACAAGAATTTTTCTAAATTTAGAGGAAACGGCATAAGAAAATTGATTACAAGTATCAAACTTTTTTTATACGAGAAACAAGTCACGTCTACAAAACATCATAGCACACTAACAAACTTGATCGACCAGACAGTCTGTGGAGAAAATTTCAATTCACATTTCATTCACATTACATCGAGTTGCACTGAGGCTCCAAAAGGGGAGGGATGAGAGTACACGGAAATACGACTCACTTTCAATTATATACTATGAAATCACGTACAAGTAGCTTTTGTATATCTCAACTTCATCAAAGTGAATTTTAACTGAATGGCATATCGGCTGGTTTTGGGAGGGGGACACAAGGGTATACGTGTATGCCCCCCCCCCAAAAAAAAAAAAAGAAAAAATATGCAAAGTGCAAGGAGACAAACGCAAGCCATCACCCTTCTACATGTACATGTCCCTTATGTCTAACTCGTCAAGCAAAACGTAGATATATATATATATTTTTTTTTTTTCCGCACCACACCCCTCCTGAAAATTTCTGGATAAGTTTCTTTTATGATATGATATTTCTTTTATGACAGTGAACTTGTTTTAATTCCCATGATTTTATCACGATTATAAAGGATTCATCTTCAGCTATCATTTCCTGTTTTTCCTTTGAAACCCTGAGGTCCTTTGCACATCTAACGGTAAACTAAACAGACCGGTCCTCTTTAGCAGGCTCTGACATGCTATTACGCTGCAGGAGATTTTATTCTCTTCCACAATTTCTACACAAGTTCACCCCCTGTTGTTAAGTTGTCGATAACTCAGAGTGGAACGAACGACATACATGTACCGCTTGCTGTGACTAGGGTTTTATGCTCCTATATATGCGACTTAAAATGATATGGGGCTCGTTATGGGGGTGGGGGGAGTTGACAGCTACTGTATTTGTCTAAGTTATATATGAGAGCACAGGATATCTCGTGTACCCCCCACCCCACCCCTCAGCTACAGCAGTCCAATGCTAATGCCTTGGAATTTAATACATAGTAAGTAATGTAAGGTTAATAGTATTACTAAGGTTATATGAAAGACAATCCAGAGAGTAAATTAAAACTTGCTTTACCCCTGCTCCGTAATTGAATTCTTGATTAAATGATTTATTGATTCTTATCTATAAATCAGTCAATCAAACTTAGAGCAGGGATTTTATTGCCACTTTACTCTTCTGTGATTGGCTAAAACAAACTCTTTCCCTGATGCTGTGTTCTAGATACATAGATGGCTTTATCTATATTTTCCTGTGCAAACCAATGCTCTCTGTCAAATGATATTTCTCTCTCCAGGCTAATGGTACCCTATTCTACTCTGATGCTGACATTGATGCTGACTGGACCCACTACATATACTTATATGTGGAGAACGGAGTATTGAAGGTAAATGCAAACTTGTTTATTCAGGTTGAATAAAGGAATTTAGATTAAGGTTGCAGATAAAGTACAGGTCATGGAGTTTTGTGCTAAATGGAGGAGATAAATGAAAAGACAAAGTCGAGACAGTTATCTCTTCTATTTTGCGTAAAGCTTTGTGATAAGTATGTTTAATTACAAACTTATTTGTTATAGACAAGAGGACCATTTCTTAAGACTGCTTAATAACAGCTAGGTAATAGGCTACACAAAAAAATTCTTGAAGTAATGCAGTTTTTCACATATTGGCATTTTCATTTTAAGAGTGTTGTACAAACTACCGTGTATCAGACCAAGGGCAGCTTATTTTAAAATCATGCTTATCAGCAGTCAACACCACATTTTAAATATGCACAAGAGGTCCAGCCCCCCCCCCTTTGGTTTCCGAAATAAGGCACACAAATATTCCGCTTTTGAAATTAGAAATTTGACTAGCCCCCAAAATGTGACTCCCCAGTCAGATTTTCATAATGAAAATGTGACTTTCCAGTCAAATTTTCATAATGAAAATGTGACTCCCCCATGAAATTTTGACTCCCCCCCCCCCCCCCCCCCCCACAATACTTTATAAATCTTATTTTATTTGAGTATACGACTTTTATATTGTAGTATGCATAATGGAGGATACATTTGCTCTTTTTATTAGTTTGCAGATGAAAATTTTAATGAGAAAATAAGAAAATTAAAAATGTGTATTTTACCACCCAGAAAATTAAAAATGTGTATTTTACCACCCAATAACTCCCCTATGAAAAAGCTTTTCATTTGATATTTGCATGGTGATCATTTCAACATTTGTCCCTTAAGTATACGTTATGAAAAATTTATTGTAAATATTTGAAAGTATACGTTATGAAAAATTTATTGTAAATATTTGAAAGTTTGGTAGTAAAATATTGGGTGCAAAAAAATGAAAGAAAAATCATGAAAAATCTTTATATTCATACCCATGGGCATTGGACTCTCATGAAGAAAAGGCACTATTTTACATCGTTTTTCACATGGTTTGCATTATGACATATATATTTTTTTAGTATTTTAAAGTTTGTTGGTAAAATTTTTGGTTAACCTTGATAATTTTTGAAAAAAGAATTCATCTTACTACCTGTAGGATTTGGAGTCATTGAGTGAAAAAAACATTTTAAATTTTCTTATTTCTTCATGAAAATATTCAAAAAGTGCCAACATATCCTCCATTATGCATACTTTAAGTTAAAAGTTACATATTAAAATAAAATAAGATTTATAAAGGTTTGTGAGGGGAATCAAAATTTCATGGGGGGATTCAGATTTTCATTATGAAATTTTGACTGGGGGAGTCAGAGTTTCATGTTACAGGCTCTCGTGGAACTGGGCAAATTACCTTTTGCATTAAAAAGGGTATAGTTTAGAGAAAGTGATCAATTTGACAACAACTTACTGCTGATCATTATAATAAAGTCAATAATATCCCCTTTCTCTTCACTTAAAAGCCTTTAAAATGATACTTAGGTGGGGATCTCTATCTTTACCAGCTATGCCACAGATCAAACTTGAATTGAATCAATACCTAACAGTAACAGTAATCCACGTCCCCCAGGAACCGAGTTCCTTCGGACCTCGGTTCCTGGTAATGGTTGTCTGTAGGACTAACATTACTTGGGAATAGTAGTCCTACAGGGACTTATGTTCCTGGCTCATAATTAGGGTAGGTTGGACTTGTATTACTGTCGGACTTTTATTCCTGTTACACCTATGACAGTAATAAAAGTCCGGCCGTTTGAAAGTCCTATCCTTAGGTAATAATACTGTTAAATGATAAAACTATAAATGTACATGAAATCCTTCTGGTGAGCCTTATATCAGACAAAAAAATGAGAGGTTTGCAACTGCAGCTCGTCTGTGAAGTGGTTAGCGTGCAAGACCACAAGGTAAGATATCATCAATCGTTCTGTTGCATCTATGGGTTCGAGACCTACCTTTGACGTGACCATACCCCCCTCTTACCCTAATTTACTACTTGTACTAAAATGTTTAATGTTGATTTTAATGTCTAATATATGTTCGAAATTCCGTGCTCATTACATTTACAACTTTTTTGTTTTGTCTTTTAATTGTCAAAGCACCAAAATAGCAAAGGGTTATTACAGAACATTATATACATATATTGCAATTTTCAATTTCTAAACTGTCTTGATTTGTCTTAAATCTCAGCCCATACTTTCCAAGAGCAAATTTCCATCGAGTGTGAGGTTTTTCAATTTCAGCGAGTGTAAACCGAAAAATAAATCTAAGAACGGAGATCCCGCGTTTTGTGTAAAGTGATTTTTCTCTTAGGAATAAGGTTTTGAAAAAGAGAGAGAGGGAGAGAAAATAAGAATTTCGACGCAAAACACAAAAGGTACACCCCAGTAGAAAAGGACATGAAATAATATACACTGTACATAAACATATCACTTATTGTAAAAGTTGACCTAGAACTAAGCGAGTCTTACGTAATTTTAATTGAACCTTCAATAGAACCTTGAACGATGTTTTATTCGTCAAGGCAAAAAACCAGGGGAGTAGAGTACTTCTGCAACCAAGTAGGAAGAGCCAAGGCCTTCGTATTCCGTCGCTCATAAGGCGATAGAAAATAGCTTGTGTTTGATAACGCGCAACGGAAGAATGCGGTGTTATAAACTTCACATAATGAGTCTACAAACACAGTATAGCATGTTCCTATTAATTTTCGCTTTGATTAACTTAGAGCCTTGCGCTGCGCTACAAGAAAGGAATTTCCTGCCTAAGGTTGGTTTCAAACTGGCCAACGGCACCCTCAATGGCGAGCCGCCCGTGGTTTATCAGTCAGAATCACGCTGCGGGTTTGTCTGTCTGAACGTAGGGTCTGCGAAGTGTCTATCTGCCAACTATCACAAGGAGAGTAATACCCGTGAATTAAATGACAAGACGATCCACGATGACGCTGGGACGGTGCCTGTTGCTGACAGTGGCTGGGTGTATCTCAATCCTGAGTTAGGTAAGCCGTCAACTTATTTATTTCATTTCAATTTGTAGACATATACAGTACATCTAATTGCTGTTTATATTTTATAACTTTTATGACTTAGGTGCTAGGATCTTTCTTTTTATGTTTTATACACGCTCAAAGCTTGGGATTTGTAGCACATTTTAAAATGAGACAAGAAATATACATCATCGAAGATCGCCAAATGTTTTGCAATTAAGCGAAAAAAGGTGTGGCCTGATTTGGAGAATGAGTCAGAAATAACACTAGGTACTGCCCAAAAAGCCGACGAGATGTATTCACGGATGTGTGTGTGTGTGTGTGTGTGTTGGTTGGTTGATCCTCGTAAGTTCTGACTTTTGCATAAATTACGTATTGGTCATATTTTGCGTGTCACTTTTGTATTAATTGCTTAATTCTGAGATATTCTGGGTACATAGACTTCTACCATTAATGCTAAAAGGTTAAAACCACATCTTGTCAGCTTGACGTCCTTCTGTAAAGTGCCAGACTGTCTCGAATGAATTCAATGATGAGTCCAAGATATGAACTAGCAATGAAATCAATTTAGGTAATGGATTGTGGATAGATTAGTGGTGTATATCTTTGACGCATTAATTAAGGCGGTAATTACATAAATTAGTTTATATTCTAGGCCCACCACAATCACCGGCCATTTTATTCATAAACACCACGCGGCTTCACACCATAACGGTCACCTGGGTGGCAGGCGATGATGGCGGCTTTGACCAAACTTTTACCCTAGACATTAAAGAGGCTAGTGATGACGACAGTAGCTACGTCACCAAACTGACCATGGCCGATCCAGGTCACCGCAGTAATGTGACGTCAGTTTTAGCTAAATTGACTATGGGCGTTACTTACACATTAAGGCTGACGTCAACCAATACAAAGCCCATAGGAATCAATAGTGCTTCTGTTACATCTAATTTTACAAATGGTGAGTGCTCAGCAAATTAATGTGAGTAACGGAGGATATACATATATAAGTTCACTGAGTTCTAAAGGTGTTTCAGTTATATTGGCGAGCTCTCGGACTCAGTTGTACATGTATTTCGACAATTTAAAACCAGAAACGAATATGTGAACCTGGCAATCTAATACAAAAATGATCGAAATTCAGATACATCGACGTACTTTTTTTGTATATATAAACAATTTACGACTATTTAAAGCAGGCAGTCTCATATTATTTCAACCACACGCTGGAAATCATGCATATAATATTATAATTAGGTGGAAGGGACTGCGCAGAGCTCTACAAGAGTGGCGAGGTAAGAAGCGGAGTTTACCAGATTCACCCAGGGAACAGCGCAGATCCCTTTGGTGTATACTGTGACATGACTACTGACGGAGGGGGATGGACGGTAAAGATTGAATTATAATATGAATACTGAAAACTAAAATTCCTATTGATTATTTAAAAGTCGATATCATTTTTCCGCACTCCGCCATTGTATCCATACATGAGTCTGTATATTCATTTCCTAATAAGCAAACCTGATTGGATTCTGAATGTTCTTTTAAAATTTCATGAAATATTAGGAAGTTAATCTTATTGCGAATATAATGTATTCCTCATAAATTTCAGTTGTTCCAGAAGCGCATGGACGGTTCCGTGGATTTCTACAGAGACTGGAATGACTACAAACGCGGCTTTGGGAATCTGAGCGGCGAACACTGGCTAGGTACATGTAATATACATATTATGGAGTCGGGAAACACTAAGTGAAGCCATTTGGTTGATTCCTTTTTTCCTTGATGCCTTGATCAGACCATTTTGGCTCAAGATAAATAAATACATTATTTTGCTAAACTTCTTTTGCTAGAGACGAATGACGTATTAAAATGCTTTGACATATATTACTTAAATAACGTTAATGTTGCAATATTTCAGGCAATGACAAGATTCATCTTCTCACTTCCCAAGACAACTATGAACTACGCGTCGACATGGAAGATACTGCAGGTATTTGGGCCTACGCCCATTACAGCGACTTCAGTATCTTATCGGAAACGTCGAACTATCAACTTATGGTGGGGACGTATTCTGGAGACGCAGGTGAGTAAAAAAAAACTAGTGCTTTGCAGTAGGTAAATTTGCTGCTAACGATACATGGAGTTAGGTTTTTGAAACATGATAATTAGGATAAAAGAACATACAGAATCACGCACAGGTAATTAAGTTAAAGTTAAAACGACCTATAACAAGAATGAAAATATATTTTTGCCAATATGTAAAGAGGACACAAGGATTTGTGTAATGCGCCCATTCCCATCAAAATGACCATTTACAAATGTTTTAAATGTATATTTCATCCGTAATCTTAAAATAACTGGTACATAAAGAATCGTATTTAGAACCACACCGGCAATGCAATAATTGCTTATCAAAATAATTTTCAGGCGATGATCTCACCTTACACCACGGATATCCTTTCTCCACAAAAGACATGGATAATGATGCTGCGGTACACGAAAGTTGTGCACAGACTTTTCAAGGAGCTTGGTGGTATGTTGCCTGCCATTCATCCAATTTGAATGGCCGATATCTCCTGGGCAACCATGCCTCATATGCTGATGGCGTTAACTGGTACCATTTTCGAGGGCATTACTATTCCCTGAAGACTACCGAGATGAAGATTCGTCCTGTTCATTATTAGTCGAACTCTAGTGGATGCGTGTGTAACGTTATGACTGGAGTCACAATTTTATCTTTGCATTTTAATTAGCATCTCAGAAGACAAAAAAAGCCTGCATTGATCCAGAATATATACAATAGTCTTTTGATCTATCAGAAATATCATTCATTGTATCTTTGTAAGGCAGACACAACGTACCTAATTGTCATAAAATTAATTTTTCACTTAATTTTTCTCTTTTGTGGGAAACTGGCTATTATATTCTCAGCAAAGCTTATTATCCACATAGGACCTATAGCGATAGATTTATTCAGCTGATCTTGAACAAATGGTTCCACCCTGCATATATATTGTACATGTACGATTCACATCAAGAAATATGTTTTGGTTTCCTTTAAAAAAATCATTGTTCTATTTAGGGATAATTGCTTATACAAAACATTCAATATATTGACAAAATCCATGGCAATTGTTATAGCATTGAGCATTTTAACTGTCGAAGAACAGTTAGGTGAATAAAGTAGACAGACACTTCAACTCATGATTAATTGTCTTTATGGGAGAGACCTTTAAGACACACCTAAAGCAATCGCGGATTTCCAGTAACTCATATAAATAACTTCCACCTGCTTCTTGTATATGTACCACTGAAATAAAGGCGATATGACAATTGATAAACCGATCAGCCATAAGAGGGCTTTAAATCTGAACTTTTTCAAAATTTTCACGTAAAACGACCTACTTACTGACCTACTTGGCTTCCCCGCTTATATACAGCACATAAAGGAAGCAGAAATTATCCGCTCTAAAAACACTATTTCTGTAATTCATATTTAATTTGAAACTGTATTGTGACATTTTGCCTTTTTTTTTTTTTTTTTTGCAAAAAAATCGACTTCAAGTACGTGCGTCTCTATAATGGCCTCAACCGGTACAACATTAAGATGAGGAGCACCGTGTACACGTCCATCCCCTTCAAACTGTGACACCATCATACTATGACAGCGGTTGCTCATATATACCTCTATAAGAGCCTTCAGAATATTGTCACACTTCGCCCAAAACTCCTTCTTTACTGCCTTACATACATTCTTCTGGGTAATTAATAAATCTTCAGTGTTCAGTGACTAAATTATATAACATTCACACATACATGTATGTCATCTTACAAGTGACGTCTTTTATATGCGATTTTGGGTCAAAAACTAAAAAACCGGTTTCTCAAATTTCTCTTTTACATGAGCATCCAAGATCACCGTTTCAACGCCGATTTACTGACACCATTTAGTACTGCAAACCCTGCCGTTGATTTTTCTTAAAAGTCTTAGTTCGGATTTTATCTTTGATAAAGCGAAAATGCTTTTGTTTAATGTAAATATGTAACTAGTGGTTGATAACTCCATAACAAAAACATTTGAACCAAAATGATGGTATGAGGTTGTAGTCTGTACAGGCCTGGTCAACGCTGCAAATTTTCGTGATAAAACCTTGTTCAGGAATGAAGTTACACCCCATACCGATTGCTATCTCACTTAAAAGTGGAAAGATGTTAAATTGACGATTAAACCTTTGAGTTGCCTATGCTTATACATTGTAATGTGAAATATAAAGGCCAATATTTTATATTTTCTAGATTTTAATATGTTTTTAAAAATCTGCACGAAGATTATTAAATAGATGCATTATTGAATAATGAGATGCAGGAAAAAACTTTCGGTATCTGGATGATAATTTAGGGTTACAATATCCTTAATGGATTCTTGGTATGTCTACCCCCGATAGCTTAGGAGCCGCCTGCTTATCCAAAGGGGACAAATATTATATCACAGTGTAAGAGCCTGTGGAACCTTGTAAATTGGTGCATTTTATTGGTCCTAACTGTTCCACAGCTGTGTTCACATCAAGACCATATCTTTTCGTTTGTGCTATCCTGGTGTATTGAACATCATAGAATATAAAAGCCAGCTGGTTTAGACGGCGTTGAAGAACAGCTAGACAAAAACCAAGAAATAGTTTAAAATTTGTCCAAGTCATTTTTTTGTTTGTTTTCAAAAGTATAATTGATTTATACATGTCAGAATGATATGGAAGTGAAAATTTTCCAAAACGTAATTTTTACCCGAAATAAAAGTCTAGTGACTGAGGTATCAGGGAAAACCGACCTTTCTAACCCAAAAATAATATCTTAAAAAATTATAGGAAATAATATTTCACTAAAGGGCCTGTTTACGATATGGAAACTGGACTGCTGGTTACTGACGCTCTCGCCAAGAATGGCATTAAAGCCGATCCTAATACCTTATCATAGTAATTAACGGAAGATCACAATGGCCAGAAATATAAAAGATAGAAACATTTGTGATTAGAGTAATTATAACAGAAGAGGACTGATTATGAAGCTCTTATATTATTTTTTTTTCACTCTCTGCCTGTGTTAACTAATGTTTCATCTTTTTACAGACTACAGGGTATATTAAAGTTCATCTCTGTTCTTTCCTGAAACCGATCATTTTATGTCTAACTCTGTGTAGGATAAATATAACGTCTTTTATACCTAATATTGCTTAAATATGCACATTTTGCTATCACTTTTGATTGATAGATCTCTCTGGCACAGATATCCCTAAGTCTCAAACTGTATGGAACATTGGTTTTTATTTCCTCCTGACTCTCTTACTTGTTCTGAAGCTCGTAATTTTTCCGAATCAGTGCAATAATGAAGAATTGCATAATATATCCGTGAATTGACCGATTGCTCCCCTCGTTTGGCATTCTGTATCAGTAAATCCTTTATTGTCATGAAATTTGTCGTGATGTGTAGCGGAAGACATTAAAGGGCACACACCTAGGGTTCATTCCCAATGAAAATCTCTTTCTACATGTACGTGTGGATCGATCCAAATCGGCGGGGCCTCTCGTTGAATGCAACCAGATTAAAACGCTTCCTCCTTGCGTGGGGTAATTAGATATAGAAAAGCTGGTTGTTCAAGCAGAACAATGGAAACAAGAGCAGGCATGTTGATCTGTTACATTAAGATTGCATTCAGCGGAGTTGGATCGATCTATGTAGAACGGCAGTTACATTGGGAATGAGCCCTTAAAGGTAATGCCAAGCAGACGTTCACACCTTGTGGCTGGACGCATTGACATTTTACAATCAAAATTAACAGAGACATATTGTGGTATTTTGCATAATTTAGGCTCTTAGATTAATATAAATTAATACAGGTATATCATTAGTCTAGACAGAAGGTACACGGAGACATAACTGTTTTGACCTCTGACTGCAATTAATTTCATTGTGAATAATTTGAATGACACTGCTACAAAGTGCAAGCACTTATTTCACCATCACCTTTCATATACAGGAGGTAAATGTCCGCCCCAGGGTATATGTCCACTCGGTTCGCGTGGTATCACTTCAATATTGACAAGATTATATAATACTTAAAGTGCTATTCCAATTCAATTTTGTATATATAAGTTATTGTAAAGGTTAAACCAGACACTATGCGAATCTTACATAAGGTCAATCGCTTCGATCGATGGTCGATGTTTTATTCATCAAAGCTAGAAACCGGGGTGTATCTCTGCAACCAAGTAGAAAGATCTTATAATATATAGACCTTCGCACTTTGGCACTCATTTGGCGATAGAAAATAGTCTGTATTTGACCGCGCGAGAGCGAAGCATTCGGTATTTTTAACTTCACATAATGAGCCTACAATCACAGTACCTCAAAATATTCTTATTCATTTTCTCTATGATTAACTTAGAGCCTTGTGTTGCGCTACAAGATAGGGATTTTTTGATAAATGTTGGTTTCAGATTGGCCAACGGTAAATTTAATGGCGAGCCACCCGTGGTTTATCACGTTAAGTCAGAATCACGCTGCGCATTTGTCTGTTTGAACGTAGGGTCTGCGAGGTGTCTATCTGCCAACTATCACAAGGAGAGTAATGCCTGTGAATTAAATGACAAGACGATCCACGATGACGCTGGGACGGTGCCTGTTGCTGACAGTGGCTGGGTGTATCTTAATCCTGAGTTAGGTAAGCCGTCAACTTATTTATTTCATTTCAATTTGTAGACATATGTATGTAAGTGCTGTTTTTATATTATAACCTCTATGACATAGAGACTATTCCCAGACCCTAACTGTGGATCGATGTATCTCCAAGGGGATTCTAGCTAAATAGCAATTAATTTAAGCGGCTTAGATGTCTGTCACACCTACGAAAGCTGTTAGGGGGTAATTAATTATCGTTTAGCACTCTCAGTAGTCGTGTCAGACATCTAAGCCGCTTAAGCTAGAAGCTGATTTATCGAGAAACCCCTTGGAGATGGATTTTATCCTGTTGGATCGATCTAGGTATGGGAACTCTGTCTTAGGTCTTCAGATGTGTGTTTCTTTTAAATGTTTTACACACGCTTAAAACCTGGGAGATGTTGCGTATCTTAAAATATCATCCAAGATCGCTCAATGTATTGCAATTAAGTGAAACGGCAATTGAGATTGGCCTATAATTCGGAGGACAACGGGTCAAAAATAATGTCTCACTATAAATAGTGCGAAGCGACAACGAAAAACATTGTGAGGATATATTTTTATGTATTCGCCAAATTTTGCATGCCACTTTTGTGTTGCTTTCTGAGACATTCTAGGCACATAGGGTTCAACCATTATTGCTTAGAGGTTAAAAACACCCCTTGCCTTGTTTGACTTTATAAAATAAAAAGCCGACAACGACATCCCCCTTTTATACTGTCTCGAATGATGAGTCGATTGAGTCGAAGGAAATTAAACCGTCACTGAAAACAATTTAGTTTATGGGGTGTCGGGTAAGTGGTTAAAACTTGGTAAATACATAAATTGGTTTATATTCTAGGCCCACCACAATCACCAGCCATTTTATTCATAAACACCACGTGGCTTCACACCATAACGGTCACCTGGGTGGCAGGCGATGATGGCGGCTTTGACCAAACTTTTACCCTAGACATTAAAGAGGCTAGTGATGACGACAGTAGCTTCGTCACCAAACTGACCATGGCCGATCCAGGTCACCGCAGTAATGTGACGTCAGTTTTAGCAAATCTGACCAAGGGCGTTACTTACACATTAAGGCTGACGTCATCCAATACAAAACCCATCGGAATCAATAGTTCTTCTGTTGCATCTAATTTCACAATTGGTGAGTACTCAGCAATCAATATGTAAGTTACGGAGGATAGAGGCGTAAATAAGTTCACTGAGTACTAAAGGTGTTTCAGTTACATAGGCGGGCACTTTACGGACTCCTGCACTTGTAAATGTCAACTGAGAGTTATACATGAAAAGCCAATCATCACTCCCTTGGTGATACTCTAGGGCCCCGAAATTTTTTTTGCTATTTTGAAGAGCAAACAGTGCCTTATGGTACGGTTTAGAACGATTATTTAGCTAGTCAAAATTCTAATTTTAAGAGGGGGAATATTAGTCTGATTGTTTTTAAAAAAACCTTAGGGTGGGGGGGGGGGTCAAGACATTCCTGACCCCCACCCCTCTAAATCCGCCACTAAGTACGAATATGCAAACCGTGCAATCTAATTAACATGTGTATTCATGTATATTGTTATTCAGATCCATTGACGTACTCTCTGTTTTCCATATATATAGATAATTTAAAGTGAGTGCACGACTATTTAGAGCAGATGATCCCATATTATTTAAACTGCACGCTGGAAATCATGCATATAATATTATAATTAGATGGAAGGGACTGCGCAGAGCTCTATAAGAGTGGCGAGGTAAGAAGTGGAGTTTACCAGATTCACCCAGGGAACAGCGCAGATCCCTTCGGCGTTTACTGTGACATGACTACTGACGGAGGGGGATGGACGGTAAAGATTGAATTTTAACTTGAAAATACTTGAAATACTTGAAATACTGGAAATAACTAGTACCACCAGCGTGTACGCTGGCGGTACTCATGCCGACCCGTCTTGTACGGCTCCGACGGCTCCTACATACGGCTCCACGTTCTGGCGCCGGATACAAGTCACCGCTACCGCTTCTCCTCCTAGACCGCAAGGACCTGTGTCCCCATCTCTTGAATTTGGGCCACATATAATCTCAACTTGAACCTCCTGTTTTTTGTCTCAATCCGTTCATTGGCCTGGGGATGACGCTCTTTGAAACGCACTCTTGTCAAAATTTTTGAAAATTCAGTGCCAAATATCTCCCAAGCCAAAGGAATTATGGGAAAAATTACTACAGAAGTCTGACCGAAAGTCATATGTGGAGATTCCAAATTAGCCCTTGGATTTGACTTTTGACCTTTTTATCTTTTGACCTTTTAAAATATTCACTGGTCTTTATATCTCCAAATTTGACAAAGAAATGCCCATTGTTACTAACGAAGTTGAGTAGGAAGTCATATACTGTGACCTTGAAATTGACCTTTGACCTACTTTTTCACCATGAACTGAACTTTGCATATTTTCTTGCCCCTCATATCTTCAAAACTAGCAGAGATATGCCTAGTGTTTCCCCTAAGTTTGCTTTTTTGTCAGCATATATGCAACACTGATAACACATTTTAAGGAAAACCAGTGGGCCTATTGTCTAGTAAATCACAGAAATGATCAACGTTAGGAAAATAGAGGTCAATTCGAAAATCTACTTGATTGGACCACTTGTTTTGTCG